TAGTCTGTCTTGAATTTTCATGTGATTGTTGATTTTGATTCTAGGTTTGGGTCTCCACTTTCAAGACCAACAATCTCCCACTTGGAGATCAAACCACCATCAATGAGCTCTCCCGAACTCCGCCTTCTCGCAAGCATCTTCTCCTACTTACATCCCGGCGATCTCGCCGATCCTCGTAGTGTGGCTCCGCCTTCGTCTTCTACTCGTGAAGGCCAATTGAAGTTGCGCACAACTCCAGTTTCTCAATGGTGACTGCCTTCGTCAACATGTCTGTCGGATTTTGACTCCCCAAAATCTTTATCAAATGTAACTTTTCGTCTTCAACCAGCGAGCGTATAAAATGGTATTTGACGTCAATGTGCTTCGTTCTGGCATGATATACTGGATTCTTAGCAAGATGTATAGCGCTCTGGCTATCACAATAAAGAACTCCTCTCCCTTGCTTCAGATCTAATTCTTCCAAGCACCCGTTCAACCAGATCATCTCCTTACTTGCTTCAGTCACCGCGACATACTCAGTCTCGGTTGTAGACAAAGTCACAATCTTCTGCAGACGTGAGACTCAGCTTACTGCTGTCGACGCTAAGGTATCAACATACCCCGTGGTGCTTTGTCTCGTATCATGATCACCGGTGAAGTCCGCATCCACGTATCCCTGCAGCACCAACTCCTTCCTCCTGAAACATAATGGCTTGTTCGTTGTCCCTCTCAAGTACCGCATTATCCACTTCACGGCCTCCCAATGCTGCTTCCCTGGATTGCTTGCAAATATGCTCACAACTCCCACTGCATGGGCGATGTCCGGCCTCGTACAAATCATCGCGTACATGAGACTCCCAATGGCCGAAGAATATGGCACCCTGCTCATATGCTCTCTATCTGCATCTGTCTTAGGCGATTGCTCCTCAGATAGCTTGAACTGATTTCCAAGGGGTGTGCTAACAACTTTAGCATTATGCATGTTGAACCTCTGAAGTACCTTCTCAATGTATTCAGCTTGGCTCAATCTTAATGTCCCTTCAGCTTCAACCCTACTGATTCGCATCCCTAGAATCTGCTTCGATGCACCCAGATTCTTCATTACAAACTCCTTTGCTAGCTGCTTCTTCAAACAGTTTATCTCCTCTAAACATGGTCCTGCTACCAACATGTCATCAACATATAATAACAAAATAATGAAGCTGGACTCGAACATTTTGAAATAACAGCAATGATCTGAATTGCATCTTTTGTAGCCATTATTCTGCATGAAGTTATCAAACTTCTTATACCACTGTCTCGGAGCCTGTTTCAAACCATATAAGCTCTTCTTGAGCTTGCACACCATCTCTTCCTTTCCTTCTTCAATGAAGCCAACAGGTTGCTTCATGTATATTTCTTCATCCAAGTCACAATGAAGAAAGGCAGTCTTCACATCTAACTGCTCAAGAAAAATGTCTTCTGCAGCCACCAAACTCAACACCACTCTGATGGTTATGAGTTTCACAACAGGGAAAAATATCTCCGTGTAGTCCACTCATTCCCGCTGTTGAAACCCCTTCACTACTAATCTAGCCTTGAATCTCTTGCTTCCATCACTCTCCTGCTTGATCCGATAGACCCATTTGTTATGTAAAACTTTCTTCTGTGCAGGTAGATGGGCTAACTCCCATGTCTCATTAGTGAGTATAGAATCCATCTCCTCCTGCATAGCATGCTCCCACTGCTGAGATTCACTCACTTGCATTGCCTCTTCATAGCACTCCGGCTCACCGCTATCTGTCAACAATAGGTAGTCAAGAGATGAAAGATATCTGGGATTTGGTTTGGGTACCCTGGATGACCTCCTAAGCTCCACGTCCTGGGTAGTTTCTTCTGCACCTAGAACCTTCTCCATTCTCTGATCAGAACAAACATCATCACCCCTATCTGGAAGTTCCTCTAAATCCATGTACTCGGATCCACCTGTATCCGTAGTGGTACTCCCACTGCTTTGGCTATCCTTGGTATTTTCCCTGTTCTTGTACATCACCTCCTCATTGAATATCACGTCCCTGCTTCTGATGATCTTCTTATTCTTCTCATCCCAAAGGCGATACCCGAACTCATCAATACCGTATCCAATGAATGTGCACTTCTGTGACTTAGCTTCTAGCTTATCCCTGACATGGTCACTGATATGAACATAAGCCACGCAACCAAATACCCGCAAGTATGAGAGATTTATCTTCTTGTCACTCCAAACCTCCTCTGGAATCCCAAAATCTAATGGAACTGATGGCCCGTGATTAATAAGGTAGGCTGCTGTATGCACTGCATCTGCCCAAAATGTCTTAAGACAGACCTGCATGTAACCGCATGCTCCTGGCACGCTCTGTCAAGGTCCTGTTCATCATCTCTGCAATGCCGTTCTGCTGCGGCGTCCCTGGAGTAGTCCTCTCTAACCGAATACCATTCGTAGCACAGAACCTCTTAAACTCCTCCAGCTCATATTCCCCACCATTGTCTGATCTCAGACACTTCACCTTCAGACCTGTCTCATTCTCCACCATGGCCTTCCACTTCTTGAAGATTCCAAACACCTCTGACTTGTGCTTCATGAAGTAGATCCACACCTTTCTCGAGTGATCGTTGATGAAGGTGACATAATATCTCAAACCGCCAAAAGAAGACACACTGGCTGGACCCCATACATCTGTATGAATCAACTCTAGCTTCTGAGCCTTAGGTGACCTTCCACCCTTCTGAAAACTAACCCTCTTCTGCTTTCCAAAGATGCAGTCTTCACAAACCCCGACTTCCACGGCGTCGATCCCGGCTAGCTTTTCTTGTGAATGCAAAATCTTCATTCCCTTTTCGCTCATGTGCCCTAGCCTGTTGTGCCATAGATCTGTACTCTCTTTGCCAGCTGCAATTGCGAGGGTGTCACTCGCATGTAAGGTGAGGTAGAGAGTTCCTAGTTTGTTACCTCGAGCAACTATCATCGTACCGTTGGAGATCCTCCACGAATCCCTAGTGAATGTCGAAACATAGCCTTATGCTCCAAGCTGTCCCACCGAAACAAGATTCCTCTTCAGTTTTGGCACGTGTCTCATGTTCTTCAAGGTCCACTTAGAGCCCTTCATCTGAATCTGCACTTTACCCTTTCCAACAATATTACAGGGCTCGTTGTTCCCCAAATATACTTTTCCAAAGTCCCCTGCTATATAATTCTGAAATAGTTTCCTGTTAGCAGTGGCGTGGAAAGAGGTTCCTGAATCGATGACCCAAGAATCCGAGTCGCTGTCCATTGCAAGAATCAAGGTATCTTGCACGATATGAGCCTCCTGCTCACCCGCATTCTTCTTTGGACTTTTGCAGACTCAAGACATATGGCCCTCCTGGCCATAGTTTCAACATTTTCCTTTGATAGGTCTAACCTTCGAGTTCGACCTCTTCTTTACTGATTTCGACCGATTCCTGTTCTGGTTTCCTTTCTTCTGGCTTCTGCCTCTCTGCTCGAAACTTAGAGCTGAACCTGAACCTTCTGATTCGGACGATTTCCTTCTAACCTCCTCGGATAGAATCATGCTAACAACCTCATTCAGCTTCAATTTCTCCTTCCCCGCCGAATTGCTGATTGCCGTCACACAACCTGTCCAACTATCAGACAACTGCGATAGAATCAATAGGGCTTGCACTTCGTCATCAAACGTGATGTCCACGAAGATAAGCTGATCAACAATTGTGTTGAACTCGCTGAGATGCATCGTGAAGGACCGTCCTTCTGCCATTTTGAGGTTGAAAAGAGTTTTGACTAGATGCACCTTGTTTGCTGCCGACGGTTGCTCGTACATCTTCGCGAGCGCTTCCTTAAGCCCCACCGTCGTCTTCTCCTTCAGAATATTGTGGGCTACTGATTTGGCGAGCGACAACCGGATTTGCCCTAGAGTTTTCCTATCCAGTACCTCCCAATCACCATCTGACTCCTCCTTCTTCTTTCCCTTTTCCTTGCCCATCAACGGGCGATACAAGTCCTTCTGGTACAGGTAGTCCTCCATCTGCGACTTCCAGTAGGCGAAGTCTGAACCGTCAAACTTTTCAATCTTTGATTTGATTTCCTCTGACATGGCTCTCTTTCACACAAATTGCTGAACGAAGCTCTGATACCAGTTGTTGGGGATTCGAAATAATCAAATCAAATCCGTACCCTTCCGGATCTTGTGTTTGAGAGTTGAGCAAGAAAGAAATTCACCACAAATCAAAGATAAAAACTTGTAGGAAAGTAAACAAGAAAGAACACACCAGATTTAACGAGGTTCGGCAACGTGCCTACGTCCTCGGGAGCCACACCACACAATTCTTTGATTACTTGAAGAAGATTACAATGCTTACAATTGGTCTCTCTCTCTAAGATTTCTAACCTCAAAGAGCCCTCAAAACCCTCTTTTTTTCGTGCTCCTTTTCTCTCTTAAACCCTAAAGGGACGTGTTTCTATTTATAACAAAACACAGTCCCAAACAGATTAGGATTCTAAAACGAGTCGCCACACCCTGGTGTGGCGCAGACTACACCCATGGCAGACAGAGCAGACTCTGCCATACCCTGGTGTGGCGCAAACCACACCCATGGCAAACATGACAGACTCTACCACACCCTGGTGTGGCGCAGACCACACCCATGACAGACAGGACAGATTCTACCACACCCTGGTGTGGTGCAGACCACACCCATGGTCTGTCTTGAATTTTCATGTGATTGTTGATTTTGATTCTAGGTTTGGGTCTCCACTTTCAAGACCAACACTTCTTCCTAGCCTTCTATTGATTTCAGCAACTCAATCCATCCTCAACATGGGACAGTATGCCAGATACAAAACTAAGCTTGTGAGCCTCACCTGAGAAAATTCAAGGAAAATCCTACAATATTTGCATAACAAAAGGTAATAAAGTGCAGAATTAAAAATTTTAGGTATGCAAGTGCTGCCAAAAACAAGCGAGTACACATGTGCAAAGTAGGCAAACTATAAGGTACTCTTCGAGTGCTAATAAGCCCCCATCAAAATTTCACCGTAATTTAGCAGCAACATTCATCAACTAACAGGCTCATAGTCGTAAGCCACCATAATACCAAACATATATCAGCAAGAGAAGCATCTAACCCATTCAATAGCACTACTAACAACTCCTCAGCCTACTAATTTACAAAAGCTAGTTGCTCTCAAAGCACAATCCCACAACACCAACAACTCACACAAAGTCAACAAAACCCTCCATAGAGTCTACTACTACCTATACTAATACCGATAATTAAAGATAGTTCACAAACAAAAGCCACAGGGACACACACAAGAGATCTCAGTTTCCTTCTTCTTCAGAGCCTTTCAGGTACATAGGAGTCTCTGTCCCGTGCCCTTCGCTCCCAGTCTCTTGCTTCCCGCCGCTGCTCCGTCCAAAATCTCCAAAGACTCCACCAGAAGTCATTGAGCCATTGCCTCCGATGCTAGCTTCACCATGAAGAATGGTGAATCCTCCGGTGCTGCTGTTGTTGCCTCCGGAGCTCATGGCGAGCTGGCTATGCATTGCTGCTTGCTGCTGTTGCTGCTGGAGTGCAGACATTGGGGACTGTGAGTAGAGCATTGAGGAGCGAGCAGCCATGAGAGATTGAGGGGTCATCTGTTGAGCTGCTTGGTGTTGTTGCATGTAGCGAGCACTTGATTGCATAGCAGCAACAGCGTTGGCTCTGTTTGCAAATACATCCATTTGTACTATGGACGTATAGTAGCTTATCACTGTTGTTCTATTCTATTAGCACAAACAGCCACTGATCTTTCGATTGCATACTTCTTATTGTTGGTTTTTAAACATCCACAGGAATCATGTGGAAATGTTCTTAGCAAATGTCCAACTCTGGCCATGATACATTTCCCAACGAAGTTTCAAAACTGAAAAAATACCAATGAAAAGATGTATGTGTGTGCTAATAAACTAGAACATGGGTGATAACCAGCTACAGCCCCCTAACTATAGAGAGTGCATCTGAAAATAACCCTACCGATAATTGATGTTAGCCAATACCAATATATACCTGAGCAATGGTAGGAACTTGGGGCTGGCTATCCGCAATGGCTGCAAGATACATCAGATTCCTCTGAAGCTTAGCCTGATTCCTGTGACCAGAGATAGATTCAAATGATAGAAAATGAATATCTTGTCAAGATGGTTTGAGTAAATGACAACATGCGTGCTATATGACATAAATTTTCATAATGAAGTAGACCCCACATCTTCTGAACTAATGTCAGTTTCCGGATATTCCTCAGATTATTAACTTAACCCTTAGCTGCACATTACGCTTGAATATCAAACTTCTCTCACCAGTTTTAGGTAATAAAACCAACATGAATAAATTCCGATATCTGGTGTAAATTTCCATTTTGTATAGCAGGCAAGTTGTAGACCAAAATAAACAAGGCTGGATTTACTGTTATGTAGAGGTCATGCTTCAAGTGCTATTTTGTCACGAGCATAATATTGTCATCATAACCATCACAGTTTTAGGTTAACTATATTAAGCGGCTGGGAATGTATGGTTACAACCAAACCATATGCATTCGTATGCTCTCTCAACAATCAACTACACTGAGGTATTCTAAAAGCAATTAAGCCAAAATAACAAAAGAAAGATGCATCACATGGTGACTCCTAACATATTGAGAGAGAACCTGTCTCTAGTCCAGGGAGGAATTATTCATCGTTAAACTGAAAAATCCAGTATAACTAAAAGAGGAACACTCAGCTGTGAACATCCAGTATTCATCAATCTTTAGCACTACACAGAAGGTTCTATGGACAATAGTTTTTTGTTTAACTGCTGCTAATAAGCATTACGGAACACTCGGTTCTGAAAATCCAGTATTCATCAAAACCTTTAGGCACGTTTTAAAATGATAATACCAACAACAAATCTTGCGACATATAAAATTAGGAGTCAAATAGACCAAGCTTCGTTCTACTTTTAACACCAAAATGATGTCCACAATCATGGAACCTCATCTAGGCTTATTGGCTTAAATTAACACTTCCAGTCAAAGAAAAAGAGGTCCTTAAGCATAAGCCTAATCTGGGCATGTGCCTCAGTTGACCATGAAGCTATTACAAAACACTGAAGTTTCGAATCAAACTCATTACAAACATGACAAAAATGATGTGATGATCTTGGAGGCAGAGTTTAGTTTAATAAAGATAATCAAATTACAAGACTTACTCAGCACATTCATCAGCTTTTCCTGAATTTTGGTTTTCAAGAATAGCCAGAATCAACTGCTTGTTCTCGTCCAGATACTGCAAAATGCAAAAGCGGAATCACCAAAACTATCAATCGTCGTTGAGAGAAGCAAGCTATAAGCAGCAAAATGGAATATAACAAAACAGCAAAAGTCTTACTTAGAAATGGACTCAGGAAATGTTAAGATAAGATTCCATGATTCCATCCAAGCAGTATTTGAGTATGACAACAAACAAGTCAAACTTGTCTACTTATTCATTAGTCTACGTAAAAAATTATAACAGATGGCTGAAACGTTTTCTGATGATTAACGTCTAAAACCTTGCAAGATAGAAAGACATTAAATGGACAAACTTCCAGTAGTTGTTAAATTAGGTTCTGAACGCTAACCAGTTCAACACTATCTAATTTAACATTGAATGTAGATAAAGAAAGGACAGCTGAATTTGTGAAAGAGGAAAACGGAGCATGAGATGAGCATGTAATATATGAAAGATAAGAATTGAAATATGCTTTAATGTTTTATGTAATACCTAGGTGCCTTCTTATTCTAAGTTTCTAATCTAATAAATATATATGCTTTGAGCTAAACCACTGCAGTACATGAAAGGAAACCACAGGTTAATGCAATCATATTATTCTATTTGTGACACATTCAACGTAATAACAATGAGTAAGTATGTAGCTTAGTGTTTGAAAGAGTTGCAAGATCCTAGCAGATTAGGGGTATCACGCTTACCATGGTTTTCCTTTGGCGAAAGTTTGATGGGGTCAAATGACATCTTTTAATCTAAAATTATTTGTACCATGAAAACATCTAGTCTGCACCATCACATATGCTACCGTGTAATAAATATGCCATAGAACTCAATAACAGACTTACTAAAGTAGGGAACACAGTGATGCGTGAAAAGTGCATTTCGATACACGTGTACAACATAGAAAAAAGACTGAACCAGTGCCTATACCACTATTATATTTATCCATTCAGCATACAGGTTATTTTTTTAATTTCTGGCAGGCTGATAATCCTCATTTTGGAGTGGTGATATACCATTTTGTTCATGAACGCATCTTGCGGTTATTATGGGTTATATATTTCTCATTCATAAATTCAATAGAGAGAAGATATACTATTTACCTCATTTTCATTCATTTTTATCCTGAAATGGGATCACGCAGAATGTACAACTTTAATAAGGTTTTTCCCTCATCAAGAGAAACTCTTTACTAAATGGTGGTTTCTATTTTGATCTAGGAGACTATCGAAAGTTACTCATTGGTTGCATGACTGATAAGGCAGCTTTTCCTACATGCCAATTGACATTTTTAGCCATTTGGTAGTCTCCTTCCCATTCATACCTATCAGGAACTTGAGCCAAATTTGTAGGTTGACATTACATTGAACATATATTAATGTACTGAAACAAATTTTTTATAACATTTTATAGACTTAGTGTTCTATAGACTTTATGTTAGCAAAGACTCATTCGAGAAATACGCCTAAACATATGGTGCTTGCTTCTCTAAACCTTGTTCTGATGCACATATAAGAAATAAAATCTCATGCATTCCTACACATGAGGTTACCTAGAGAAATGGAACAAGTTGAGCAATAAAAATTTGATGCTAGTAAAGGAAAAATGATGGTCGAACGCAAGCATCTAAGGAGGAGGCAAATACAAAATAGAGGTCCGATAATACAAGCAATATTGTCCATATCTATTGCAAACTATTTTAGCTGGTGAATGATAGCAACTACTGATCAAGAGATCATATGATTACACTAAAAAAACATCAACTAACATCATAACTCAATCAACAAAACGCCGAGTCATTACCAACGTGACAGCAACTAACATCATAACTCCCATATTCTCATTTGATTTTGCGATTGAGGATAAACATACATGAAGGACATAAACGTGATTAAATCATAGAGAATAAACATTAAGAGCGGAAGCTTATACCCGAATCCATAATTTAAATCTGAGTTAGGGTTTTGATGATCTTCTAATCTTAGGATTTCTTCCTTATGACTCTCTTTAGATAGGGATAAGAGAATGAGAGTTGGCTAACCCTAGATTAGGGACCATAACCCTATATATATAGGTGTTGTACATTTGTAATTTGGCCCCTCATCAAATTACAATTACAACCTGGTATCTGCACATATAACCCCATGATTTATTTAAATATCCATTAACCCAAATTGATTGATCACTTTAAGTGAGTTATCTTTAAAGATAGCAATACACATTGATTAATCATATGTGCTCACAAATAGATTTAATTAGATTTAAATCCAACAATCTCCCACTTGGACACCATATGATTTCTTAAATTATGTATAACCTTATAAGCTCAAAATTGCTATCACTGAAAAGGTATTTCCGAACAATCTCGTCCATTGACTATATCAGTATAGGATCAAAGCGGTCTTCGTCATATTTATCGTGACTCAACCCATCAATGGTCACATATACCAATACAATTAAACGACATAGATCAATCATGAATGTGCAGCATGAAAATTACATGCAATGTGATCAGTACATGTCTATTTTTAACTAATCCTTCCTTAGACTTTAGTGAGGTCAACCTCAGCATTATGGAACAGAGTGTATGAACTGAAAACTTTATTCTGATCAGACAATATAACCTAACATAAAGCACCACAATCATAAACTCCCACTAAATCATGATATCCTCAAATAATACCACACCCATATGAACAGTATGCTCATGAAAGACCTTAGGTGATAATCCTTTAGTAAGAGGATCAGCTATCATGGAGTTTGTCCTAATATGCTTTATGGATATCTGTCCATTCTGTACCATTTCTTTCACAACCAGGAACTTAATGTTAATATGTTTTGACTTAGTTGAGCTTCTGTTGTTATTAGAATACATTACTGCAGATTTATTATCACAATATAGCCTTAGTGGTTATTCAATATTTTCCAGAATGCGCAGTTCCGTGATAAAATTTCGCAGTCATATTCCCTGATTGGATGCCTCATAGCAAACTACAAATTCTGCTGCCATAGTGAAGGAAGCTACAAGTGTCCGTTTGACACTTTTTCATGATATAGCTCCTCCTGCTAACATATAAATATAGCCTGATGTAGACTTTCTGCTATCTTAGTATCCAGCAAAATCAGAATCAGAATACCCAATGACCTCCAGCTGATCTGATTTTTTGTATGTGAGCATATGATCTTTTGTTTTCTGAAGATACCTCATAACCTTTTTGACTGCGATCTAATGATCCATACCAGGATTGCTTAAGTATCTGCCTAACATCCCAACAATGTACGCAATATCCGGACGCGTACACACCTGAGCATACATTAAACTTCCTACAACCCAAACATAAGGAATCTTATGCATTTCCTGAATTTCAAGGTTTCCTTTAGGGCACTGATTGAGACTAAACTTGTCTCCTTTAGCCACAGGGATGTCTCCTGGTCTGCAGTCTTGCATGCCAAACATTTTAAGTACTTTATCGATATAGCTCTTTTGTGATAATCTAAGAATATCCCGAGAGCGATCTCGATGTATCTGGATTTCTAATATAAAAGAGGCGTCCCCAAGATCTTTCATCTCAAAATTTTTTGATAGAAATCTCTTGGTTTCGTGCAACATGTCTATATCATTAGTGGCAAGCAATATGTCATTAACATACAAAACCAGAAAAATATACTTACTCCCACTGAACTTGTAATATACACAGTCATCAACAATGTTCATCTCAAAACCGAACGAGATAATTATTTGTTAAAACTTGTAATACCATTGACGAGGAACTTGCTTGAGTCCATAGATGGATTTTCTTAATTTACAAACCATATTCTTTGGGTCTCCTGTCACAAAGTTTTCTGGTTACACCATATAAATCATCTCATCAATATCGCCATTGAGAAATGCAGTCTTAACATCCATCTGATGTAACTCAAGATCATAATGAGCAACAAGTGACATGATTGTTCTAAAAAAGTATTTCGATGAAACCGGAGAGAAAGTCTATGTATAATCAATGTCTTCCTTTTGAGTAAAGCCTTTAGCTACAAGACGTGCCTTATACATCTCCATATTACCGTTTGCATCCCGCTTGGTTTTAAAAATCCATTTACAACCAATTGATTTTGCACCTTATGGTAATGGGATAAGTTCCCAAACTTTATTGTCTTGCATAGACTTATACTCTTCATTCATGACATCAATCCACTGTTAATAATTAGAACTTTTCATGACCTGAAAGAAGTTGATTGGATCATCTTCCAACATTCTATTACTTTCCTCATGTTCTTGGATAAATACAATATAATTATCCGGAATAACATTTCTCCTTTCTCTCGTGGATCTCCTTAATGACACTGGTTCTTGAGGTTGTTGAGTTTGTTCTTCTGGAACAGGAAGTTGTTCAACATTATCATCTTGAGATTCCGGATTTACTTCTTGAGCAACAGCAGGTATAAGAACCTGAATATTATCCAAAGTAATTGTATGGATTGGATTTGAAGCCAATTCTTCCTCAAAAGCAATGTCTCTAACCTTATTTCTCCCTCCAAACTCAACATCCTCAAAGAATGTTGTTGTCCCCATCTCAAAGATATTCCTGAGTGTGGGATCATAAAACTTATAACCCCTAGAACGTTCAGAATATCCAATAAAGTAACTGCTAATTGTTTTGAAGTCTAATTTTTTTTCATTTGGCCTATAAGACCTTGTCTCAGCTGGACATCCCCAAATATGTAAGTGCTTTAAACTGGGTTTTCGATCAGTTCAAAACTCATAAGGTGTTTTAGCAACTGCTTTACTTGGTACTCTGTTTAGAATATAAGCTGCTGCCTTTAGTGCTTCTCCTCAGAGTGACTCTGGAAAAGAAAAATGAACAATCATACTTCTTACCATATCCTTAAGAGTCCTGTTTCGTTTTTCAGCTACATCATTCATGCTAGGTGAACCTGACATGGTGTACTGTGGGACGATACCGTATTTCTCTAGGTATCTAGCAAATGATCCTGAACGTTGTTTACCTGAACCATCATAT